CTGTAGGCAGTATGATGACAACAAGGATCCCAGCCTTTGGTTAATTTGTAATTCAGAGCCTCCATTTCCACGGTGATTCGTGTGGCATGTCATGCCATCTCGAGTGTGCTTTAAAACATGACAATTCTGGTATTGGAAAAGAGAAACAACATGCAGTCCTCGATGGGAGCTTCTTCTGTGTATTCTGCGGGAAAGTGAATGATTTACTTGGGTAATTTCTCCTGAATTCCATAATTGTACTTCTATGTCTCATAATCTGGTTTTTCTGTTATTACAATTATATATAATATATATTAGCATTATGATTGAAAGCTGCTTGAAACTTGTTGCTTCCATGAAGTTGTAGGTCAATGTATTTGGAGATGTTTGAGTGAACTTCAATCTGCTTGGATATTGGTTCTTTGGGTCAAACTGATAACTAGCATAAACTCGATGCTATGTAAGGCTTTTGAAGCTAATAAGTCAGTGGACATAAAAAGTCATGTCTGTTATTTGGGTAATGAGATTACACAGTAAGGATGACAAATGAGGGCAAGGTGAAAGAATATGTATTTCAGATGATTAAATGTTTCTAAATAATTTTCACAGTCATGATACACTTAATCATACCCAACTATTTTGATGGTGATAAATGCACTTAAATCATGCCTGAATATTTTGGTGGTGAAAATACACTTAATGGCTCTGACTTGGTGATGCTTAGTTATACATTCAGAGGAGTAATCGATGAGTGATATTTAGAGTGTATTTAAGAAGACTATTGTTTGGATTTTCAAAAAGCAGAGGATCTATGATGGGAATGGGCAAAATTTTTTTATTCTCCCATTTCTATTATTTTGCTTTTTTGGTCAATGACCTTCCTGACTCCCTCATGACATGGTGAAGATCTTTGACCGTGAGTTCATGCAGTCTGCAATGGTAGCTGTAATGAAGTTGTTGCAGAATTTTCCTGCATTTCCCTATTGCCTTCTGGTTATCTGTTGTGCTTGTAATTCTCAATTGTCATGCATACAAATTTATTGTTTGAAGTTTCTGGTTGTTCTTGATTATTGTGAAGAAATGCATCATTTGGAACTTCGCATAATTTACTGGTCATCCTGTGAGCAATATATTTTCCTTGATTCCTCTGTTGATTTAAGTAGATGATAATATAAACTTTGTGGGATCTGTTTGTTGAATGCATTCAGTTGCTGGAGGAAACAACTAATGGTGGCAAAGGATACCAGGCGGGTGGATATACTATGTTACCGTGTCTCTCTGGGCCAAAAGCTTCTCAATGGTACTGTGAAGTTCCAAAACCTTTCTGAGATTGTGGATGAGGCTGTGAAGAAGCTTGAAGATGAAGTGGGTACATTAACTGGCTTACCAGTAAAGATGGGTAGGGGTATCGTGAACAGGCTTTCTTCAGGACCCGAAGTTCAGAAGCTCTGTTCTTTTGCTGTGGAGTCACTGGACAAAATGCTTTCTGATACTTTCTTAGAGTCATCATACAGTCCTGTTATAGAAGGTAAATTTTATGGCCTAGTGCTTTTTTTCTTCCATAGTTTACTGTCTATTATAATCCCAGAAAAAAGATGATGACGTGGATTGAGGACAATGGGGAGTAATCTTTTCCTAATCGGAGGATCATAAAGTTCAGTCTTTGTTCTATGGTTAATTGAAATTGAATTGGTTCTAATCTATTATTTTGTTCACGAGTAGCCAATTAAACTTGAATATATAAGTAAATCTGCAGGAGATTGTTTTTTAATTGTTGATGTCAAGTATTATCATTCTGTTGGGCAGCTAAAGGTTTCCTGACATCTGCAGATTCAAGTTCAATTTCTCCAACCAAAGTTAGATTTGAAGATGTTCAAGCGACATCCCTCACTGTGATTTTGGGCTCTGAGGAGCTGTCACCTGGAAGTGTTGTTGGCTACACCTTGTGGCATCGTGAGGCTCGTGAGAAGGACTATCCGATAAAATCAACTTGTACCCTCTCTGTACCAAATAGAAGATTTGTTGTCACTGGTCTAACTCCGGGTACAGAGTATCATTTTAAAGTGATTTCCTTCAATGGCATGAAAGAACTCAATACGAGTGAAGTTCAGTGCTCAACAGGAACCAGTGAGGGTAAAGTCGTTCCGGAAAGAAGTCAAAGCCCTGCAACAAACTGCAGCAGTCTTTCAAATCCGTCTTCTGTTGAAGATGAGTCTAACAGCATTATTCCATATAGCGACCAAAATGATGACCGGGCAGACAATTATCTTTCTGTCTGCAAGGAAACTGACAAAACAGTTTCAGCAAATTTAGCTAAAGATGTTAACAACTGTAGTATATGTGGTGAGGGAGGAACTGCAGCCGATGCAGCTTCTGTGTTGGACGAAGAACATGCCATCCCGATGGCTGTCTGTATGCCCAGTCCAGATGTTCTAATGCAGGAGAAGAAGCACTCTGCAGAAGGTCAACTGGCTGAGGAGATGAGCAACGATAACGGGTCTGATACCCCAGCTCAGACTGGTTTAGAATGTGTGCCATATATGGGTAGCTCAGATGCGGGCTTGCCGATTACTCCCTGTAAGATGGATACCCTAAAGGACATCCAGGGCAGGAATGGAAGATTGAAATCTAACAACAAGGATATGCAAAATGGGATTATAAAAGGTGATGAACCTCAGGATGGCAGCACATCGAAGAAGAGAAGTGGGGAAAGGCAAGACAAGGAATGCACAGCAACTGATCTTTCAGATGGGGATTTCGAGCATTACGTTAAGGTCATAAGATGGTTAGAATGTGAAGGACATATTGAGAAGAACTTCCGGCAGAAATTCCTTACATGGTACAGCCTTAGAGCAACACCACAGGAGGTTAGGGTCGTGAAGGTCTTTGTCGACACATTCATAGAAGATCCAGCATCCCTTGCAGAGCAGCTCGTAGATACATTTTCGGAATGCATATCGAGTAAGAGATTGTCCTTTGTTCCTCCTGGATTCTGTATGAAGCTCTGGCATTGACAATGGATACTGGATGCAATGCATTGTTAGAAGGGAATAGTTTTTACCTGCAAGCCTGGATAGGGTTTGTGTAGCATAATTCTTTAGACTTGCTCCAAACTTTCACTGTCATCATCACCATTAAAATTTACAGTAGCTTTTTCAATTTTTACGATGATGTAATCATTTATACTTTTGCAGTATCTGTATTGCCATTCTTATGATGTAAGAAAGGCATTCATTCGGTTCTACCGTACAGTTTATTACTTGATATTTTTACCAAATCAACCTAGTTTTCCAACTGGCTGAACTCAATCCATATTAAACAAAGATAAAAATACATCTGGCCATCTATATATATATATATGTATATATATATTCATGTACAAGATAAAATGACACAGGAAAAGTATGGAGATTAGTCATCGTCATGGACTGAATTGAAACGGTTATAGAAGGTGATGTTTTTCATCCTGGTTGCAGAGCAGAACCTCCTTAAAATGAGTCTGGCAAGCCACGTGTTCTATTGATCACCCATGGTGATGAAACCAAAGCTTCATAGTTTTAAAAACCTCTCCACCATCTTGTCCCCACCTTCTTCATAACTCCGTTCTTCATCTTCTTCTTCTTCTTCCCATCTTCAACAAACCATACATAATCATCCCACCATCTCCTTTTGTCTTTTTCTCTAAACCACTTCGCCATTTTCAAGACCTTCACACCTATTTTAACCTCACAGCTTACTAAAACCAATAGCTCCCTGTTTGCTTTCTCTCGCTTTCTAAGATGTCTGCGAGTACTGTGTTTACTGCTCCAGTTTCTGGATCGAGCTACGTCAGGTTTCAACCCGTAAGGCAGACTCTGTTTCCGGTTAAAGACTCCATTTCGTGGAGTAGGAAAACTGTGTCTAATGGCTCGAGAACTTACTGCATGAAGGTTATGTGATTTAAAAAATCAAAATCTCATCTCTTTTTATTCCCTGTGATTACATGCAGTACTGATCATGATACATACATACATGTTTATATATTGATCTGACAGACATGGAAACCGATTAACAACAAGAAGTTCGAGACCTTCTCCTACCTTCCTCCTCTGTCCGACGAGTCAATCGCTAAGGAGATCGACTACATGATAGAAAAGGGTTGGATTCCATGCCTTGAATTCAATGAGGTAATCTTAATGTAGTTTGATCTGTTTGGGGGTTCAAAATTTGACCCGTTAATATTCTTATGATTTCAGAAAAGTTTTTGATTTGGTCTGTTTAGTTCAGGCAGGAAATGTCCACAGAGAGAACAGCCGGATTCCCGGATACTACGACGGGAGATACTGGACGCTGTGGAAACTGCCGATGTTTGGATGCAACGATTCTGGTCAAGTCCTGAACGAAATCCATGAATGCAAAAAGGCTTGCCCGAATGCTTATATTAGGTGTCTGGCTTTCGACAACCGCCGTCAGTGTCAGTGCATGGCTTTTATTATCCAAAAACCCGCCGTCGCCGGCGATCGGAGCAGCTGAAGGCGAGTAACTTGGTTTGGCTTTTATTGTGGGTGGTGTAAACCAGTGGCGCCAATAGTTTTGGGGTTTTTTAATTAAAATAAAATTTGTCAAAATAATAATAATAATATTTGGTTTGTGTTTGGCATGTGATTAGCAGCACATTGTTTTTGGTTTAAGAGCAAATGGTTTTTTGGCAAAGCCACTGTTTTTATTGTGTTTAATAAAATATATGTATTTTTATTATTACAGTTTTTTAAAATTATTTCTCAAGTTTTTTTTTTTTTTTTTATAAAAAAAAAACATTAATTATTTAACCAAGAAGTTTGCATATTCTTGTTTATAAGTATAAATATGTGTAAATAATATTTTAAAACAATTAAAGCAAATTCACAAGATATTGAATTACAAAAACATAGTTTGCAAAATCTTTATAAAAAAAACTAGAACCTGAAAAGGTAAAATTTTAGAATTATAAGACATCACCTTCAACTTTTTTATTGCTTTCATCTATGTAATGATCTTAGAATTCTTTTAGACCTACTTGCATAGACATACTTTTCCTATATATATATATATATATATATATATATACACACACATAAATAATCATAATATAATTGTAAAATCCATTATATATATATATTTTTTTTGTCTCTTTTCTATTTATGAGTTAATTGCTTGGAAATCCCTTGATATAAAAATGTCGAGACAAGATAGGGAGGACAAAAAAAGTTCTTCAACCTCCAATATACCTAAACAATCCCTACCCATATATACACATATACATATATATATATATATGTATATTCAAGGAGAAAAGATTCTGGTTTGTATTGGGAAAATTAAAAAAAAAATTATATCATTATACACCATGATGTCTTTTAAGGCATCATAAAAGAACCCCCCCTTAATTATATTTAGAAATTAATATTCCTCTGTAAAGCATTTTCTATGCAATCTGAAATCTAAAAACATCATAAATTCCACCAATTCTAAATTCCAGGGATAATAATAATTTAGTTCGATAATTGCAACAAATAAATCCTTAACTGTAATCATTAATCATCACATCATATCTTCCAAGAGTTCCTTAAAGGAATCCATGCTCAGAATAATACCAAAAGGTAAAAAATTTTAATGACAATTTGCACATACGGGAAAGTGGAAAACCAGAAGAAAGATACTAAATCAATCCAAGTTTTCTCCTACATATTAAAATTGTGTCAAGATTAAGTCGGTACAATATGATATGACAGAGATTTTCTCTATTCAACACAAATATGTTTCTGCTTGAGGTACTCAAGATACAACCAGGAGAAGAATCACAACGTACAGATGAGAACCGAGATATCAGCACATAGATTGCCTTCATGATAGTTTCGCACTTAAGCTTGAGGTCCCAGCATCCCCACCACACTAGGAAGCAGCAGCCTGACAGATTATTCAAGATCGCTTAACGGGCATCATCAGTTTGCATGTTTGGCATAATGCATAGGGTAAACTGTGAAGTTAAAACAGAGATTGCAATTGCTGTTAGAATACATATGTGACACCCCGTTCTTTTTTTTTTTAACGGTGTACGATAAAGCACGCATACAACACAATACCGACATCCGTATTATTCCAACCATGCACAAGAGAAATTTATCCACCTTCCATGTTCCAAATCAATTGTACATACATCTCCACCTCTACAACACATAGTAATACAATATCAAACATTCCTAGATATTCAATATCCAGACTAAACCATCCTTTCAAACTACTTTAAATCACAAACAAAACTCGTGCCCTATGGCACTACCGACGGGGCTCCGTTACCAGCCGCTCGGATCCCAATTCCGTCCT